CCCCCCCCCCAATTTTTTTTTCTCTCTCTGCCTATGATTTGAAATGTCCCTGAAGTTGCAGCAGTCCTGAAATGCTTTGAACCTTGGTCTCTCCAGAGCTTCTCTTCAGAGAGAAGTACTCTAAAATAGTGTGTTAAGCTGAATCTTCTGTACTCACACTTGCTGTGGTCCCTTAATCTTAAACGAGCCTGCCAGTTTGAAGCATGTGGGTCAGTAGTTCTTCTTTGCCAGTTTTCTTTCCTGTTCCCAGGCCTTTCATATAACTACAGGTTCTTTTGCATGCTAAGCAGGAACCAGCTATGGTAGTGGAACTGGTGCACTTGTGGAGGCAATTGTGTTGGTGTTGAGAGGAAGGGGTACATGAGGAATTACAGGAATAGAGGGAAGTGAGGAGAATTGGCACAGGCTGCCCATTAGTCATAATGTGTCTTAATTTGTTGTGATTTTTAAACTTAATAATACAATGTTTTTAAAAGGCATGAGACCGGAGACTTGTTAAAGCAGTCACTCAGCTGTATTATACTATATAGTTGGACAGTTAAGACCGTGACGTTCAATCCTGACAGGCTTGGGATCCACTTGTGGTTATCATTCCCCTGAGGCTCTCATTCAGGAGAGAAAATACATGTCTTAAATTTCATAGGGAGAAGTCATGCATTGTGTTCTTCATAACTGCAGGAAAGAGAGATCCAGGGTATGCAGTGGAAAAAGAATTCTGTAAACTGCAGGTGTCAAGTCAGAGCCACTTGTGGCACAAGAGCTGCCATCTGAGTACCATAGACCAAACAGACGTGGCATCCATTGGCCCATCGTCCACAGCTGGAAAACAAGTTTAGGTGGTATTAGATGCATTTTAATCTCATCTTTTTCTTTCTAGCAATTTCATGCCAAAAGGCCAAGAAACAGTTCTATAATTTTTCCTTTTTCTAAAACAAAAGATCAACAGTACATAGGTTTTCTCTTTCAATAAGCAGTGCTATCGTGCTGTCTCTTAGAAGTAAGTTTATGAATTGTCACTCTTCAATCTTTTCTCCAGGAGGATCATACTTTGTTTTAGTGAGAAAAGGTTGTCTTTCCAGTGTTCTGCCCTTATGAATCCTTGTTCAATTAGCTAGAAGAGGGAGCATCATAGAAGTAGGGTCGGAAGGGACCTTGTAGATCTTCAAGTCCGACCCCCTGCCTGGGCAGGAGAGAAACTGGGCTCAGGGGACCCCAGCCATGTAGGCATCGAGCCGCTTCTTAAAGACCCCCAGAGTAGGAGCCAGCACCACTTCCCTTGGC